TATAAGACATAAAATGTTGAATACTCATTTGAAATTATAAGAAAAAAGAATACTTTAAATGTGAAATTAAAACGGCCAGTAGGTGTCAGCAAGTCACTGTTAATAAGTGAGTCATTGCGATTGAACCGAATCATTTAAACGGTTGATTCATTCAGGAACGAAACACGGTCATTGCTCAGAGATGCAAAACTGTGCTATGGTGGCTGTGTTTGGAATTATTTTTGTTGTCGAAATAGAGCAAAAACAGGCGATATGATGTCTAAAATGCAAGTCTCTTAATTAACTAATTGTTTATTGAACTGTTGTAAAAAAAAAAATCTATATGTAATCATGCTGATTTTTGGAGGAAAAAATGGCACTCTTCGTCTGATATTGATTTACTATATGAAATGATATAAATATATAAATTATCTGCCCCTATATTTTCAATTTTGTGATCATTCTAAATGCATTTTAACAGACTGAATCACGCGCGCGCACTAGTCTAATCTACTAGACTTCAGGGCACTCTGTAGGAGTGTTTTGTTGGGTTTTTGGCAAAATACTGATAATGTCAAATCGCACATCGTTAAAACAACAATTACGATATTATCGCAGACGATATATATCGCACACCCTGCACCACTGTCTTTTTGGTGATTTTACCGCCAGTTTGCTCTCCTGCCCATTATTTACTGCAGTAGTTTCCAGGGAGCGATTTTTTTGTTTTTTTACTCAGTAATTAATGTGTTTTAAAATGTAGCGAAGTACAATACTTCAAACAAAATATACTTAAGTAAAAGAAAAATTACAGATTTTTAAAATTACTTTAAAAAGTAGAAGTACACAAAAAAGCTACTCAATTACAGTAATGCGAGTAAATGTAATTAGTTAATTTCCCCCTTTGCTTATAAGTATAATGCAAAAAAAAAAAAAAAGATTTAAATAGTATACATCATAATTATATATATATAGGCCTATGCTGAATTACATTTATTAGAATCATCATTAAAAATACAGAATTATAAAAAAAACTAATCTAAAAGCAAATTATACAGACAAAGTAATAAAAAATTAACACAATCATTTCCACTTATGAGTGTGTAAATTTAATAAGAAATTGTCTTACCAACTGAGTAATTCATGCTAATCCAATTAATTAATCATACTTTTTAATTAATTTTGATTAATTAAAGTTTTAATTGATTTACAGCTCTAGCCACAAGCCAAAAAACTCAATTATCCTAAAAATGATTTTTAAAAGTTGTAAATAAAGCTGTAAATAAAACTAAAACCAGAGTTTACTGGAGTTTGTTTTACAACAAAATACTATTTCAGTCTTTCTAATTCAAAAGTTTCAAAATGTTTAATTCAATGCGCCGTTGCTTGCTGGTTACTTCAAAATTTATTAGAAAATAATTTCAAAGTAAATCTTACACCAAATTTTATTTTAGAGTAGGCTAAACT